TGTTTCAACCCCTCTATTCCCCAGAGGATATTGGACATGGAGTCAGGAATGGCAGGACTCCTAATGAACACTTGTTATAGTGACTGTAATCTCCTATTTTGTTGCCATTATTTGTTATGCTTTTAAACGAACATTTCTGTCCCTTGTGCAATAAACAGGGAACTGTAATAATGTGTGTTTTGTTTGCAGTACGATGAGTGTAAACATATCACTGTATCATTATTGCCTTTCTCACGTGATGTCGTGACTCTCCCCCCCACGCTCATGTCAAGATGGGATGTGCCTGTTTCACGCTTTGAGCGCGTATACGTTAAGGAATGGTTTTGTTGTCATTACAATCACCAAGGTAATCTTATTTTAACTCCTCCGTTACACCTTTATAATAACCCATGTATTTATTTGTTTTGGGCTTTTTTTAATTTAATTGCATTTTGAGTTTGTTTTCAGCCTATATTACCTGGGAGCACTGGTGCTAAGTCAATTGTATTTTGAGTGAAAATGAAGTTGTACTACGCGGCGCGCTATGATCAGAGCATGGGACGATTATATATTTACATACCTATGTCCTTGCAAATTTTACACAATTGGATGGAAGGAAATTCTTCCCAGGTGCACAGTTGCTAGTTTGATTCCAAATATAAATTATAAAAGTTTAATTTTATTTCCCTTGTTTATTTCATATATATATATATATATATACATGACTATACTTTTATGCACTCGCACACATACATATATATATATGTGACTGTATACTTTTTTTAAACTACATTTTGATAATTCATTTCCTAACAGTTCATGTTTGAATTATAACCTCGATGCTCTCAAATAATAAAAAATAAATAGCTGGAAAATTAATGTAACATTCACTTGTGAATGTATGTATGTGTGATTTTAATGTCTGTCACTAATGGTTGTTCTAAAAGACGAGTCACCACTCACCATCATTTGGTTTCAATGTCTTTGTTTAAATCTGTTTATTATGAATGAATTATGAACTTAAGGATGTGTAATGCACCTGACAGCTGGGGTAAGAAGTTTGTTTACTGTGGTCAGTAACATTTCTTGCTGTTACTTATTTCATAAACCACATAGGATTTTGCTCTTGACGCTTGATTTTCTCACCCTGCATAATACTATCTCTTGTTGCTAAATCTAGATATCTTTCTTGAAACTTTTGAACATTCCTCACTTTTGGTAAATACACAATTATATAATATTTCTCTCTTCTATATGTCATGAATGTAATGCTTATTTTACTGATATAATGAATTCAGAATAATTCAGTCTCACAAATGGGGTTGTGTCCGTGGTTTCCCTCTACATTTCGTTTTTTTTTTTTCTTCATTGAGCCCTTTTTCTTTATTTTTAGGATAGAGGAGTTTACACAGGAAAGAGGGGGAGAGCGATTGGGACATGTCCTAGTCGGACTAGAACTTGCGTCCTTGTGAGCGAACAGCTTTTATATGTCCTTGAGCAGAGTGACATGTTGTGCATAGCAGTTGTTTTATCTAAAGTGCAAAAGTGTATGCCACTATTTAAGGGTCAGTTCACCCAAAAATCAACTCACCCTTATGTTGTTCCAAACCTGTATGAGTTTCTTCAAAAGAAGATATTTAGAAAAATGTTGGTTGAGTTGTCGGTCGGTAGCCATTGACATCCATTGTAGGAAAAAAAAAAATATACAAAATTCTTCAAAATATATTTTGTGTTCAACAGAAGAAAGAAACTTACAGATATGGAACGAATATAAGAGTGAGTAATGATGACAGAATTTCATTTTTGGGTGAACTATCCCTTTAAATGGCTATGAATCAGCCCAAAATCAGAACCAGAGCAAATCAGCAAAAAAAAAAAAAAAAAAAAAAAATAGGGTATCGCATGCCAATTAAATTCAATAATCTGGAGATGTGTCTACATATGGGCATTCGTGATAAGCATCGAAAGCGACCACTAATACTGTGGTGATTTAAGAAATTACAACGCGTGACATCAGCTACAAGAAATGCGCGCCATTTCTCCACCGTAGACTCATCAGCCTCGTCACGCCCACGGACCGTTGGCTGAACAATCAGTCTGAACTTGAAGGTCTATGGATACGCGAGACTACAAGAATGAGTGAACCAGACAAAGGTAACGAATCCAAAGATTATAGAAATTTAAGTCTATACAACTCTGCATTGGTCATATTAGAAAATATGTAATTCAAAATTTAATCAGATAAGTTAGTTCACTCCAAAAAAAAAAGTTTTACTCACCGTCATCTTATATATATACATATATATATACATATATTTATAGTAGGCAATATCACTTAAGCGTTGTATTTCAAGTGTACCTTTGTGTGAGGAACAGACAGAAATAAAGCTGGCATCACGCTTGCGTTTACGTTCAGAAATGGCGGGGTTGACGTAAGTTATTGTGACGCCATAACAACATGGCTCGCCTGAGGTGAAGTGAAATTTATCTTTAAGTGTTAGAGCAGCGCCATGACAGGTGTGAAAGTGAGGCTGTGAGGGATTAACTTATGTTTTTCCTATGGCATCCGCAGTAAAAAGCTGTAGCAAGCTCTTAGATCACTTGTAAATTTCCACAGCTCATAGTCTCTTGAAGTTATCTTGGAAATATATTTAGCTGTGTTTGGTCGGCAGAACAAACAATCCAAAACACATTAACAGTAACGTTATAAAGACTCTAATCTATTCCTCACAGGCTCGGTTTTATTCCTTCTCAAATTAAACATGGTGCTGCTGTGAATAAAGTCCATAACTTGGTCTTTTTACCCACTTGAATCCATCAAATGGCTTCAGAAGACTTGAAATATAACACATACACATGACATTCACATGACTTTGAGAATCAGAACAGGTGACATATTTATGCAGGTTTTATGCAGGTATCCATCTTATTAACTTCTTTAAAATTGCATTTTGCTTTTGGTATAACGTTACTGAGAATGTTATGTGTGGATGTAAATTCATCTGATTCACAGGTGATGGGTGCAGATTAGTCTATGAATGAGTGAACTGGTTGATTGAGGTCTTGGAGTGTCCACTAGATGGTGAAAGATCCTTTAGGTAAGTAACAATTACAAATTTATTGACAACTTGTACCTGTTTTGAGGCTGTGAACTGAAGTTCATGTTTTGGGTCCTGGTTAAAAAGTGTACTTCTGAGGATGTGGAGTGAAAATTGCATGTTTACACCTATAGAAACTACATGAATAATTCATGTTTTGTCTGAATTGAGAGTAATATACCTAAAACTTAGCATAAAACATTAACATTCAAATCTTGTAGCTCAAACAGTACAGTGACAACATTATTTTTAAATGAAAATGTACTGGCTGTTGCTTAGCAACTGGAAAACCAGCCCTTCATACCTGCCAAGTTTCCACTGAAAGAACTAAATTATTTAATTTAGAGTAATGATAAGCACTTGTTGGTCTTGCACAACTCCCAGGGCATCTTCTGGTGCAATCAATAACAACGTAATTGAGCAAAACCCCATTATCTTTCTAAATAACTTTATCTACTTTGCACACAGGGGTCTGGGGTGAATGTGGCTGGCTTAATAGTTAATTGAAAGTGTGTCCAATGCTTTACAGTGGATGAAACATCTTTAGCACCATTTAGATAGAATTAGTTTGCTAAATTATTTCATCAACTGATTCAGATGTGACTTCTGTCATTTTTACTAGAGATGCACCTATAACACTTTTGTAGTGTAGAGTTTTTCCTGCCGATACCGATTTTAGCCGATTCGATTTCATTTTTTCTAACCGCTTTACAGCACACACAAATATTTATTTTCTCTCTTTTCTTTAGTAGAAGATTTTACATCTTGCATAGAACATTTTTGAACAGTAATCGCTATAAAATAGGACTATATAAATTACTCCTTGTGTGGGAAATTCACATCTAAATTGCAGTGTTCCTTCTTTTCACATCTTATATCCAACTAAAAAATGTGTTCATTTCAAAAAGAAATACACACCAATTTAAAACACACCAGAGACACATACGACGTCTGTGCATTTTGGGCACTTTTGTGTGAAATCATATTTATTTTGTCCATCAAAAGTGTGCTTTCACTTTAATTGAGCGTGAGCAGTGCAGCATAAATAGACTCTGTGCCGAAACCCGCGCTTCACCCCTGCTCCCGGTGTGAATGCTCACATTGATTTACATGCACGCCAGAAATAATACGCGCTGCTCACGTTTGCGGTGTGAAACGGACGTAATTTACAAGGTTTCCTACATGTGCGTTCCGTGTGCATGTGTGATGCTGATGTTGCGTGATGTTAATCATGCGGCACCCGAGAGCATTTGGCCGATCACGACACGTTGATCAATCGGTGCATCTCTAATTTTTACTAAGGTGTCTGTTGTTATAAATTTACATTAGCACAAATGACAACATTTTATGTGTTATTACGGGAATAAAAGGTGAGGATCAAACCTGATGCTGCTACCACAGTGGCCTTTCTGATCGAAATCTCTATTGATTTTAGTTTTTTATTAAAATAAAAACTGTAAAAAAGTGATTTTTCGAAGTTGAAAATAAAACCAAAGGTCGTTGGAGGAGGTTTTACAAGCAAATACTATTTTAGTCTTTACTTCAAAATTTAACGTTTAATTCAATGTTACATGCTGTTTCTTTCTTAGCAATTTTTGAGTAAAAATGATTTCTATACTAATTTATTTTCAGTTTTCGTTTTAAACAGAAAGGTGTCAAAAACATCTAAATCCATAAAGATTATGCAGCGTGAAAGTTAACTTCGAAAACACTGTAAAACAAGTGTAGAGTCAATATACATGTTTAATGCTGAGGCTATACAAGCTTCTTTTGTCATGTTATTGATTTCCCCACCCCTGCCCATGATTTGAGAAAGGGGAAAAATACGGAAGACAACTACAGCAGTTGTACACTGGACAATCGTTTTTCTTTATTTTTTGTTTCAGTTCATAATATCTGTTTGTTGGGGTTTTTCTTTTTTCATTTTTCATTTCAACTTAAAATTTTGACACACTTATAAAAGACAGCATCTGCATAGAGTTCTCATCTTAAAGATCCATGGAGAAAAGAGGGAGAGAGAGAGAGATTCTGAGAGAAGGGAGGAAGATAGCAAAGGGTTTAGGGGAGGAGAGGAATACTGGTACGCCACACTAACCAAACAGAACAGCAAACAGTATTACAAGAGAGAGGGGGGGAGAGAGGGACAGTTAGGTTGTTTGTTTGTATCTTTTTCCTTTTTTTACAATACAGTACACACATACACACACAGAAAATAAAAGACAGAAGTTGCAATTCCAGTCAAAGTTGCAGAAATCGATTTCATTTCTTCCTTCCCATCCTTGGTGCCCATCTCATTGTGGTTTCTGCCCTGAATTCACGTTCAACTTAGATCCTAGTGGGGTGAGAAGACAGTCGGCGACACATAAAACGATGGCTGGGACCACGGTTAGTGGCTGTTGTTTCCCTCAACTCCCGTAATAATATTGAAGTCGGGGTTCTTTCGTGCTTTCAAATGTGAGTGTGAGAAAGCCCTTTTCTTTGTATTGCACAGATGAGTGTGTTTCTGTTTGTTTCAAGCATTATTGTTTCTAACTGCACTTTTAAACTTCCATTTACATTGACTTCTTTTGTTCAAGACCGGAGCCTATCCCGTGTTACGTTTAGCTTTTGAACTTCAGCCATGCTACAGTTTATGCATGCAAGGTTTTCTAACCGACACTGGTTGTGAAAGCGTCCAAACATATACCATGAAAATGTCACTATTTGTTAAAAATTGGACATTGCCAATATGGTGGACCTCTGCAAGAAAAGCAGTCAAGTTGCATGGAAGCTACAGATGGTGTGCATTTGACCTGTGTAGATGGAGGGAAGCACTTTTTTTTTTCCCCCAGAGCTGAACCCGCTTACGGCTCTCTGAGGTAACACAACAACATATTGTACTGATTCTTTTGTTAAAGCGGTGCTCGACTTTTCTTCGTTATAGACATCACTGGTTTTCGACAAGCGAGCAGTCAGTAGCAAAGCACTGCGACCAGGGCAAAGAACAAGAAAATCAATCAACCTCACAACTTTGACAGGAACTATTTTAGTAGTTTTATACATGGACATGCAAATCATTTTTTCTCTCTTTGAAATATTTACAATAATTACAAGACAAAGATTCAGTTCAGATTGACAAAATCGCGAGCATTCAATATTACTACTAATATAACACAACTTCTCGGGATTTTTAAATCATTGTAGTTATATAATTCATCACATTTGATAATGGTATAATTCAATTATGTCATCCTTATCCAGTCATCTTCCCGTTCTAATTAGAATAGTGTTTTTCATCACATCATTACAGGCCGTCCTCTGTAATTGATGATCATTTCGCTGAAATCACAGTTTGAGCACCATCTCCACAAACTGTTTCCTCGTTCTAAATCTAACACTGAAACAAGAATACTTGTATAAAGTTTAATGGGAATATACATCAAAGGAATGACACAAAAGAGGATGAAATTAAGGAGGATCATGGCTGGGGCTGTTGAGAAAAAATCACAATCGCAGGTCTTGGGTACTCAATAGCCGTGGACCGAGAAGTCATATCCGTTAACGTCAAAGTCTTTGAGAGCTGTCAGTCAGGTGCTTTGCATCTCATAGACGGCTAAAGCACATGTGGAAACTAAGCAGCGAGCATTACAATACACAAAGCAGTCTACGTAGCTGAGACGGCTTCGTTGATCATGGCGGGAGCGTTCTAGCTTTGTTGCGTCACCGCTCGCTCGCCATGCAGATTGGGCGTGAGGGTTTTTTCTTCCTGCAGTGATGAGGCACTCAACAACCCCAACCAAAAAATACTATTATGCAGTTAAACTCTAAAAGGTACATCATTATTTTATTTTTTTTATATATATATAGTATATATATATATATATATATAAGTAGTTTGTAATTTTCACCCATTTACAAAATGCCTTCTCAATGTGCTGTGTTATGCCAGTGCTGTCTGGTCATATCAGTGTCTGTGTGACGAACATCCAAAAACAGCGTTGAAAAATGAAAATAAGACAACTGAGAAAACTTTCATCCAGATCTGTGCCCATGTTAGTATACAGTTTTTTTTTTTTATTTCATTTTTTTTTTTAACCAGAGCTGATCTAATGTCTACGTCTAATGTATTGCCAGCACAGAGGAAGCAATGCAAGTGAGCTGAACAAGGGGTAAATGGCAACATAAACAGCATCATTGAGGGGAGAAATAAAAAAAACAACATACAGTACACACAACATATTTGTTTTGTACGTAGCTGTTTTTGGAGAAAGTGCTTTAAAAGGAACAAGCTTGTGTAGTATACATTATACATATTGTTCAGAATGAATATAAATCAATCAACCTTTATATTGAGAACCTTGTCGCTGAAAGAAGTGGAATTGAAATGTATACGCAAGAAAGTTCACAAGATTTACGGGTGGGGAGGACTACACAATACAGTTGACTGTAACATTGTGCTCTGTACTCGCATAACGCTTTGGCTTTTTAGTCTTATTACTTTTCTTAACATTTGAATAAAGTCGGCACAAAACTGGAGCGCTAGAGCTGCATACCATAGACCGGCAGACCAGAGAAAGACCCTCGCGCCCGACGCCAGTTAGCGTTGCGGTGCGACCGAGGGCTCCAACAGCAAACGAGCACACACACATCCACACACACAAATGCTCATGCTCACTTATACAGCAACGTGTACGTAAAAAAGGAAAAATGCCGAAGGGACAGGGCACGCATACATGGCCTTTTGAGTTGCACAATTCGACACCGCAGCACACGACTCACAATAAAGAATAGTCTTACGAAAGAATTCACATATCATCACCAGTTAAGCACAACAATCAAGTTTGGGAACACATCAGGGGAAGGGGAAATGAACAAGATGCGCAAAAAAAATGATTCGTACCCAGAGTGTTTCCGGAGGGCGGGGGGGGGGGGGGGGGGGCAATACGTCGGTTTACACTATGGACGTGGTTTAAGAACATAATACCTGACAACAAACAGATTTTGTACTCATGTGCACATCCACAGGGAACACATTCATGGGGACCACGGTAAAACTCCAGCATTGTCAGGGTCGTGAGAAATATTAAATGGAGACAATCCCCCCCCATCCCACCCCCCCTTCCAACCCTTAGAGATTCATAATAAATAATCATAAATAAAACTAAAAAAAATCAAATAAACATATTAACAAAACGGAAAAATGTGGCGGCATAAGACAGTTTTCTTTGATTGTAAAGTGCACACATGATCGAGAGCCATGCAAACTAACAAAGCGAAAGTTGCATGCGTTAACAAATAAGGGCCTTCCAGCTATATCGTCTACTAAAAACAACACCGACATACATATTTACCTCATTTTACCATACATGTAAGTGATTCGACACTAAATACACAGAAGTTTGAAAGAAAACATGCTGGACGTTACTGGAATGATTAAAGCAAAATAGTCCCGGCCCTCTGCCTCAGGCTTTCTTAAAAGGTGTACAGTGTATATCCCCAAAAACGTTCCTGTTCCCTACTACTTCGCGTAAGGTAGGTAAAGGGGTGGCGGGACGGGGTGGGGGGGGCTCCTGTTATATATTCTATGATAAGCAGTACATGGAAAATAAAGTCCGTATTGAGAAAAGGAGTGCACTTTGAGAGTTCTGTAACGTCATGAACATGAGGGTGAGGGCGTCCTAAGAGTGCGACGAATCTGAATCAAGCCAAGAGGGATTCTGTATCAACAAAAGCAAAAAACAGAGCTAAAGTTTGGTTTTAAATTTTAGCCCTTGAATTTAAAACGAGCAGTACATAATTTACCAAGCTGGCACTTTCTGTCCGCAAAGAAAAGGATGCAAAGAATTAATGATGAAAACAAAAACAAAAAATCTTTGGACAAAATCAAAAAGTCTTAGTCTAAGCTAGCATTATCTCGACTCTCTGGCGTTCAGAGCTGGATTTGAGCTGTTTCGTATAAAGTTCGTGAAAATTAGTCGCTGCATAATAAGTGCCCCACAAGTTTCTTCAACCGAACTGAAGAATGCGTCTACACGTGAATATTTAGTCAAGAGCGCGTCTCATTGTTTCAGATATGTAAAATTTTATAAGATCCAACTATCATGTCCTAGTATTTTATTTTATTAGGCTCTCTTCATTAACTAGCACCAAGGTGAGAAACGTCAAACTCCCAAATCGATCCTTCAAAACCAAAATGGTCCCGTTCAAGCCTATCCTTTACATCATCACATAAAATATATATGCAATTCATTTATCAAGGCAAATAAAAAATGCAAAACTAGCGATTAACCGAAAAATAAGGATTATTAGTTTCAGCAGACCTAACCACCCTCCAAAAGATAATATTTAGGTTAGGTGTTGTTTCAAGTATTGACATTTTCTTTTCTCAGAATCATTCCATAGGTTGCCATGAATTAATTCAAAAAGTGGGGGGAAATTACTATCTAAACTGCATAGTTCAACAGTTTGCCGCCCTATCGATCTCAGCTTTCTATACGTTAAAATGAAATGTCTGTTACTTCACTGCCTACCATCTACAGTACAGCAACTGAAGTCAAAAGAAAGCATTGCTGATATGACTTCCTCTCACAATTCACAATGATGTGTGCTTCTTAGTTCTTTTTTCTTTCTTTACAGTTGCCCACAGTAAAACTATTAAGACTGAAATTCAGCTATGAGGTTGACGGTGCTTTTAATCTATAGCACTCCATCAGTAATGAGCTAATATGGTAAAAAAAAAAAACGAGATTTCATCTGAATGCAAGCAACCACTCGGAACGTTAGGCCATTGAAATCGGACTAGTAGACTACTGTCTATAACATCTATGCAGTCAGTTGGTTAGTATTCGTAATGCTAGTATGGTTTGCCAAACACCTTGTTCTGCCGGAACGTAAAACAATTTAGCAGTTGCTGGCACTGTTCTGGAGGCCCCCCCAAAAATGAAAGCAACACTGAAAAAAACAAAAAAACAAAAACAAAAAAAAAGTTGAGTTTTATTCCTTTACAGGTAGTAACCCATGTGCTGCTTTTATGTTCAATACATTTACATGTACAGTTTGTAAATATTATGTGTATTTGAACCCACTTTTATATATTTTAAATCAGCTAGTATGTAACATCTCCTTTTATTTATTTATTTTTTGATTGGTTGATTTTTGAATATTCGATTTTTAACCCTACCCAACCCCCGTTTTTTTGACAGTTTCCTTATCTCGTGTTTAAGTGGATAAAACACTCAGCTTTCCAAGTGTTTGTCTTTCTTCATGTCGTTTAGAAGCCCAGGGTTCCTCCGATAGTGGATGCTAAAACCACTCCCAAAATTACACAGCAGATGATGATCATGATCTTCTTCTGCAGAGGGCGAAAAAGGAGAAAGAAAGAAAGATGTGTAATTAAACAGCCAACAGATCAACAATCATTTGGTTTGTTCATCTAGCTACTCTATTACTCGATTGTGCAGTAATACACAGCTAATCTAAGTAGCATCACCTCATCTTAACCACACTTTAAATCATTACAATGAAACCATGAACAATTAAGCCATTACCAAAGTAAATCATTAAATTAATTAAAAGTTAATTCAATTATTGATGAAAGGACCCACGCTGGGACATTGACCCTTTGAATACTGAATGTATTAAACATTGATTGCATTTGAGAAGGTGGTGATTAGATATCGCCTAACTGTAAAGGCTAAATACAGTCCTAACATCATTCTAAACTTTGGAATCTCCAAAGCTGTAAATAAGCTGTAAATATATTTTAATGGACTAAATGGACTAAATCCATTTAGTTGACAGAGTTAACTTGGTTGGACATGAAATCAACATGAAAACTTGAAGCAAATAAACATTTACTTTTCAGCTTTTTCTTGTGATCAACTGACTGACATGTAAAGGGACCTATCAATGTTTTTCTTTTTTGTTTATTTTATAGACCAATATATGTATATGAAAAATACATATACATTATATATGATGTGAAAAAAATTAATTTTCCAAATTAAGACGGACACAAAACAAGTGTCCAAAATAGAGTCCGACCGATAAAGGATTTTGAAGGCTGATACCGATACAAATATTTGTTGGTTGTAAAATCCGATATATCGGCCTTTTTTTTATTTTATTTTTTTATTTGAAACGCGCAACAAAACATTAACAGATTTCCCTAATGGTAATTATTTGTAGTTATTTATGACTTTTAACTAAAATAATAACTCCTAACTATACAACTCCAACACTCATGACATGGTTGAATCGTGTTTTGTCCATTTTTACTTTATTTTTGAAATTCATTTATCGACCATTATAACTATATATTAGACCATTATAACATTATAACTGGAAAATGCCTAATATCGGCCAATAATATCGGGCTGCTGATAAATCGGTCTGGCCCAATCCAAAACTTGGATGAGGCATGCTACCCTGGTTTGATGAAATTCATTGGCTTTCAAAAACCAAAAATATTTCTTTTTAACAATTACTGGCTTTTATTGCCAATCAAATTTGACCTGCAATAGCTGTCTGGGGATTTGCGACCCCTTGTCTTAAAAGTTGCACTTATGTTATCATTGAAAGCTGCAATGTGCATGGTTTAATCTGAATGATTTTATCATTTGTTTATTTAATTACTATCCTTAATTGATTTGATTATTAGCTGCAAATAACTGTAGATCAATCAATCATTGACCCTTCTAATCCAGGCATTTCTGAAGCTCTGCTAAGTGAATAAACGTAAAGATTATGTTTCACCAGATCTGCAATTTGACCCATCAGAATTCATACAAGTAGGTGGCATATCACCAAGAGTCTGCAGCCTTTAGTTTAGACCACTGCAGTGGACGTTAGCCAGCAAAACTGCAGCAAAAAACCTGTGAGAAGACAGTATCTGCTGAGAACCAATGAGCGCCAAAGAAAGGAGCATTATAGTTTTTCTTTGGATGGTTTAAGTGGTTTAGGAATAATTTCAAAATGCTCTTCTATTATTCATTTTTGTACATGACAGCTTAGGACTGAGCCTACGTTCTCTAGAAAGCATGAATCATTGAACACAAAGGGCATAATATTGAACGACGTCAGGTGTAACTGCTGAGTGTTTTACCTTGCGTGCCTGACTCTGGTATTTGACAGCCTTCTTGGTGTCAGAAACTGCTCTCTCTACATAGTCCACTGAGTGTTCCACGTTATACTCAATTCTGTCAATCATCTCGCCCTGTGAATGACAAAAATAGGCACTTCAAAAAAACAATATCCACACACACACACGACAATCACTGTGTCCAATGCTAAAATCGGAAGACTTGAAAGTTAAGATTCGCTTAAACGCTTCCCGGTGGATGACTGAGTGCACCTCTACGCCCTTGCTATAGAATGCCATCATGTTAAAGTACAGGGATAATGTTGCATAAAAAATTTCCACTGTTCTTGGTCGCATGGAAATATATTGCTGTGAATTACATTTGAAAGCATCAATGTGGAGCTCAACGAAGTCTACTTTTCGTCCAGTCCGTGTTTATATCCAGAATTCAAAAAATCATTGGCCAAGCCTGACAGTGGCCATTATGAATTGTACTAATTGTACTAATTGTACTAAATATAAATATTAGATGGATTTTTTAGTAAATAACAAAATAAAATAGCATATAAATAAAACTTAAATGACACAGGTTTGGAATGACATAAGGATTAACAAATATAAAATTTCATTCCCAACAGAGGTCCGGATAAAACTTTTTGAATATATATAGGCTTATACTGTTTTATTTCCATCGAGGCAGCCAAAGGCAAGAAAAAAAAACCCTCTTAAAAAAACCTCAAAATTATCTTGGGACCCAAGAGCCAAAACAGTGATGTCTAAGAATTTATACCAAAAAATAAAAAAAGTTAATATTTCTCCCAATGGTATGAATATAAAAAGGTTAGATTAGATATTTTAATAGGCTATTTAAAAATAATTATAATTACATTTAGACACCTTTGTGAATGGCACAAAGAAGGCGTTGGGACTGAGAAAACATACTGGGGCTGAAGGGTTTGCCTCTTAAGAAAACTATGGACCATTTTAATATTTTGCTCAAAACAATAAACAACTAAAAATAAACAATGTACATAATCTAATAATCAAAACTCTCATTATGAGGACAAAACAAAGTTAACTAGTAATTTAAATGTTTTTTGTCTTCCCTTGCCATCTCTAAATAATTTCCCAAATTATAACATTGTTTATATGAAAAGCTCTTTAAATGCTTATTAATAATGCTAAATATATTTAAAAAAAATGTCTAAAGATGCCACACTTTAACATGTCTCAAAGTGAAATGGTCAGAGTCATCTTAATGATCGATAAAAATAATTGTATTAGCTGCATTCTCGTTTTCTGCAGTGTTTTAGCGAAAGTATCTATTTTGCTGCTCCTTAACCTTGTCATCTGTAGCTCTTAATGTGGCGGTTTACATTTTTAGCGACAGAGAGATAGAGAGAGAGAGAGAGAGAAGCAACATGCACAGAAAGGGCTTGAATGAAACACTTTTGGTTCTAGATAAAAATATTATAGATATAGCTCAGAAAGATCATTAGCATAAACAACCCTGAGTGCTTGTGGTGTGAACCGCGCTTTTCACTTTAATCTGCATGCCGCAATTATGTCCAGATGGAACCAAACCGCAGTCCGCCATTTTAATAAAGCTGCTTTATATACAGTACTTTACTAACAACCTTGTGGAAGGGACTTTTGTGACACGATTACATTGGTAGCATTTGATCAAATAGTATTTGGAGCATTTCTGCTCCGATGAAATGCTGGACTCTTGGTTGTACCTGACTCTCCACCAGCATGGCCATGTCCACAAACATGTCGTGCAGCTCACGGATGCTGTTCTCCAACTTAATGATCTCAGTGTGTCGGGTCTCAATCTCATTTAGTGCCTGCTTGGTCATCTGGGAGTCCATTTTGATCTGTTAAACAGAGAATATTAGAAAGGTTAAGTTGCTATTATTCAACATACATTTGCACATAGCTTTTTTGCACATACAGATTGGGTGAAACAGTGAACAAATTATGAAATATGTGAATATGCTTCCATGGAAACCAAATTAATAGTTTCTGTCTCAAATAGCACACTTGATGTTGACTCCCTTGCACGTCTGGGAAGTGTATGAGTAGGGCAGTGGCGAGGCCGCCCATAACTGCTGGACTAGGATCAGTTTTCTATGTAATAGGATATCGGTGAATTGGCAAACGTTTCATTGTTTGAATATCTGTGTTTGCACTTTGGAGAGTGTGTCAAAGGTTTCTATTTACAACGTGTGTGTGCAGTGTTAAGCAATGTTAATGCCAATCGTAGACATGTCTGTTGATTTCTTGAATGCAACGGCCAATCAGAGATGTTTAAGTCAGAATCCACTCATTGCTCAAAGCCAGGGTTTTTGTTCAGTGCTGAATTCTGCACGTTCGCAAATCCGTCATTATTAAAAAAAACAGTGGGGTAGACATTATGTAAAAAGGATAATTATTATTGTGCAGTATAGATTGCTTCATTGATTATAACGCAACTTTGTGAGGTTGCACCTTCGCGATGAACTGGGGACAGGGACCACTCTTTGCATGCTTGACCAGCGGCCACGCTGCAGGGTTTTGGGAGTGACATCCACTAAATGCATGTTTTTGAGTGATTATTATTGTCATTTATGCATTACATTTTTTCTTTTTCCCCCAAATTATTATTTTTTGTGTCTCATTTGATTGGGTGGACCAAACTCTGGCCACTCTGGCCCTTATATAGCCTCGCCACTGCTGTGGGGTGTCTCATTTACCCTTTTAATTTTAGGGTAAATAAAAAAATTAAAAGTTAGTTTTCCTTTAGGGCTGCTTTGCACTTTTGCGAAGCCCACTTTACAGTGGACTATTACCCAACAGATAATATGGCAAAAATGTACATTCAGAGTAGTATCATAAGGGCTCAGGCTGCTATTTGTAACTAGACCTTAGTAAAATTACATTTTAAAGCGCAAGTGTTAAAATTTGACCTGAAATTATGACGTTCATGTAATTTAAAGTCATAGGAAAATTAGTTAGTCATTGATTTCCGACTATTAAACTTACATCATCAGTGAAGATAGCAAGTTTCCCGCTCTCCAACATGTCTTCCAGCTCCTCATTGGTAGTTGTTCTGCCAGCTAATTAAAAATATCAGAAGTACATGGTATCATTATGGTGCATACTGGGTATTTTGATTAGGTTTGAGTTCTTGTATAAGATCAACAGGTAGAAAATGGCGCACAGGTCATGCTTTTGATCCAGTTACACACTCATAAAAAAAGGTACAAAAGCTGTGGCACTGGGGCTGTACCTTTTCAAAAAGTACACTTTTGTACCGAAAGGCTGCATATTGGTAGCTTAGTGGTACATATTATCACCTAAAATGTACATATTAGCACCTGAAATGTACATATTTACACCTAAAATGTCCATATTACCACCTAAAATGTACGTGTTAGCACCTGAAATGTACATATTACTACCTAAAATGTATTAGGACATAAAATGGACATATTAGCTCCTGAAATGAATATATCAGCACCTAAAATGGACATATTAGAACCTAAAATGGACAAAAGTTTACCTTTTGAAATGGTACAGCCCCAGTGACAGCTTTTGTACCTTTTTTTCTGAGAGTGCATGCTGTATAGCTTTTTTGTTGCTTAAGTTGGTAAGATTTTTGGTGAAAATGTGTGTTCCAGTAATGTGGAGGATGTTTCTCAACTTTTGCATGGGGGCATATGTGTGTCTTAGTAGAACTCACTAATTTCCAGTTGTCTCTGAATGCGGTCCTTGCAGCGGTCCCTGTATTTGGACTGCGTGGTGTTGTACTCCGTCATCACCTCCACAAACTTGCGTGACAGCGTGGAATGCTGTGGGATAAAGGTAGAGATGTTGAGGCTGCACACTCGCTGACAGTAAGCGGCTCAGGATAATAATATTGAGGGCCAAGTGTGACCATTGTGAAAACGGCCCCTGCTTTTGCTGCAGTTTGAGAGATTACGGCACACATTTTGTTTCTGAACAGCAGATGGCGCCAAGGAAGGTTTTTGACAGAGATGCTCAGAGGGAGGGCAGAGTTCACAGGAAGTATGTCAGTCTCTGAGCTCACTTGACACCCTGAAGGTCAGATTGCTTCCCTTTTAGAAAAACTATTTTACATAATAAAAAAAGTCCCGGTCCCACTTTATATTAAGTGACTTTAAGTATTATGTACTTACATTGAAACAAATAATTTGATACAATGGACTTATTGTGTACATACATATTTTACATTGTACTTATATTTTAAAAATACCACAGCTGTAACTAATTTATGTAATTACATCTGTGATTACACAGCTGACCCTAACCTTACCCGTATCACACCTCAATAGCAGCAAAAGTGTTTTACAATACAACATGAGCACAATAAGTACATTGTACATATTTTTAAAGCCACTTAATAATGTGGACCAAAAAAGTTTTAAAAGTCTTAAACATCCCCTGAACCCTTCCTTTAAAATTATTCCCAAGTGAAAGACACAATGCATGTATTTTTATGTAGAATTTGATGGACATTATTCATAAAGAATGATAAGCCTGATATCAGTTCATTTAACATTAAACAAATGTTAATCCGTAAAAGTAATATTCTAAGATTATTTATTAATTGAATACTGAATATTAGAATAAGTTGTGACGTTGCTTGACTATAGACCAATAATAAATTCTTAAGTTCTTCCTTGTCAGTTATTTTGCACATTACATTGATTTGACTGAATAGACTGAATGATTATTGTTAGATTGCAAATAATGTTTTGACAAGCATTTAGAATATTATAATGGTGTTTGTCATTATTTTTATACCTGTGTCTTGCGGATCCGCAAATCTGCAGATGATCTGTTCAACCCCTCCTCTTGCTCGATACTTTGTTCGATTGCTGTGGAATAGAGCAATGAACTGAATATGATAAAACAGCCTTTGGTAAACCAAGTCTATGCAGTGACCATGATAAATATCGCATATTCAATTTATTTTAATGATTGACATTTCATATAGCAGCTCTCTCACCCTGGTTACCCGGTTACAACAGTTACTGAGGTGGACTACAACACGAAAAGTAATTTGCAAACTGAACTGTTACAATGAAAGTGCATATACACTAGCTGTCAGACAAAGCGGTCCCAGAGTAATAACAAGTCCCTTAATCTCAGAAGAACAATAGATCTCACTGTCCACTTCAGGAGACAATGGGATTCACACTCCATTCAGTTCTAATGGAGCCGGGTGCACCATGTGTCACTGGCTATATCAATGAAAGTGTCGATGAAGTTGCACTGTGGCGTGGGCTATACTTGCATGAAGAAGATTGAAAGGTTTCCAAAGTGATTATTCAGCTGGATTTCCAGATAATGTTGTCTATTCGCGCGCTATGAAGACTCTAAAGTTATAACTTAACTAAAGGTATACCATTTCTAGGCGTGTTCCCCGAACTATACCTTGGGAGGTTGCTTAAAATTTTCCTGTGGTTCCGGTGGTGCTAAATTGGTTAATATCGATGGCTTAAAAATCAATTATTCACTCATGCAGGGGCTGTTTCGCTGCGTTATGCGAGAAAGGGTTGTTCTTTAAAAAAGAAACACTTCAGAAATAAAATAGAATAGAAACTTCAGTTGAAATTGCATCAGTACTCATGGGATCTAATCAATGAAAATAAAATAATCCAAATTGCAAACTAAATCCAACCCTGGATATTTTATATAATTTCGAGACGAGTATGCGACCCTGCGACCTCATGACCAAACGTATCATGCCTCAACCCGGCAGCACTAATTCACTCGCCTTTCAAAGGGTCATTTATATTATCATAATATTTTACACATAATATATTTGAGAAGAAAGATAGAAAAAGGAGAACTGCCAGCAGATGAATTTCGGGGCTGAGAGCTCCGTCGAGTTTGTGACCAACAACAAGATCTAAAAGCTGCTGAATTTGTTGTCGCGGCAGGTGAAATTTATTTTGAATCGCAACTTTTGACATGGTAGCCGGGGGACTAAAGTTTTCACAGAATGTAATAGTGGACATAAACAAAGCTTCAGGACACAGGTCATGTACCTCTGGTCGATCAACTGCTATTGAGAAGAATGAGAATGCTAACTGACACCTCTCTCCAAGTATTTTATATTGGTGTAATAGTCAATTTTCAATGTTTAATTACACACTCATATTGTCATAGAATTAGTTGCCGAAAAATATTATCTTGTTCTTGGGGTGGAGTGTAACTTTTTGTCCTTTCCTGCACGACTTCAGAAGGAGAACACTCCAAAAGAGATTAGTCCAAACTCCTTAAGAATTTTATTTTGCTTAGCTCCCTTTCCCTCAGGTGGCTGCCTTTTGAATCAAAGTTTGACTCCAAATTAGATTTGCCTACGTGAGCATGAACATTTCAGGAGCTTTTAGAGGACCAAACTTCATGTATACTTGAAAATAGACCCGAACCTTTCAAATTTTTTCACGCTAAATTCAAAGAGTCGAAGAACAGTGCAAGAATGTTCACCATCTCAAACTGATCTCAGATCTGTTTCATTGTTAGTATAGAGCGAGCTGGCTGTAAGTTTTCAATATTTTACATAATTGTGTGTTTTTTCTAAAACAAATATAAAGAAATATGAAAGTGCTAATAAAAAAAAAAAAAAAACATTTTTTTTATACCTTTTAATTTAGAGCGCACTTTATTGGCTGTCTTCTTAATGTCAGCTGTGAGGTCCTCCAACTCCTGCTTGGTCTCTGCAGAATAAAAACACAAGGGAATACAAAAGAGAGGTTGTTTAAATGGATATAATGTTGAGTTTTCAAAGTTAAGGGGCACTGGTTGCATTATATAGGGTACAAAGTCATGTGACAAACATTATAGATAGATAGATAGATAGATAGATAGATAGATAGATAGATAGATAGATAGATAGATAGATAGATAGATAGATAGATAGATAGATAGATAGATAGATTTTTATATCTTATTTTATTTTATATTTTTTTTATATCTATCTATTTTATATATCTATATATAGACTTTTATATAGAAGATATTTTAACAAAATAGGGTTTATGCTTAATAAATGCAAAAATAACTTTAGTTCAAGATGTATTCTATGAAAAGTTTTCTTATCTTACATAATTTATCCATTGTTTTACTGGAGAACATGACCAAAATACAGATGAACAATCCTGAATTTTGTAGTGCGATGTATATTAGATTTTATGACTTTAACCTTTGAAAATATCTCATTCTCAGGCCATATAAAGTTCTTGTTCTTTAAAGAGAAAAATGAGTGCTCTCTTGTTAAACGGTGGCCGTGTGTATGGACTGCAGGCTGCAGTCATATGTTGATTGATAGTTACTGCAGTGCCATTCACTCCCTGGACACCACCTCAGCCTTTTCAACTCCCACCTACACACTCGCCTTTCCTCTGACTAATCCAATCCCTCGCTGCTTTCTCTCTTTTCTCTCCAGCCATGAGTTTGATGACCATGACATTTCTCCCTCTACGAGTATTAATGCCAATATCAATTTATCATCAGGGATTATATGTGCATTTATTAAAAGGAATAAAGCACTTGCAATTTCATACTCAAATATTTATCATAATATACAACACATTTATGAGACCACATGTCATAATAAAGAGAAAACACAACTTTTTTTTAGGAATCTGTCAAAAAGCTGTTTAAAAACTAAACATTTTATTGTCATTTATTATGCAAAGAACAAATAGAAACAACTAAATAGCTTTTATTAACACAAAATACCAAAAAACTTGATATTCTGCATGGCGTCTTTTGGCTAACAGCTTGCATTCTTGCTGGCGTTGTTTTTATGTACAGTACTTTTTCCACAGTCTCTGTTGTTATTAACTTCCAAATACTAGTTGTTCCCAAATAATTACTTTTACATTTACATTCATTCATTTAGCTGACGCTTTTATTCAAGCAACTAGGGGTTAAGTGTCTTGCTCAGGGACACATTGGTGTCTCGCAGTGGATTCGAACCTGGGTCTCTCACACCAAAGGCATGTGTCTTATCCACTGCGCCATCACCACCCCTTTTGAAGAACCTTTCTTTGAATCCACTAAATCCCAAATTTGTTCAATAGGATTCAAGTCTGGACTTTGACTTGGCCAATTGTAACTAAAGAGAACATACTGGTGGATTAAACATTACAGAAACATAAAAAATGATTTTGGTAATCACCAATACTGTTACTTTAGAGCGACTGTGGCATAAACCTTACATTGGGAGGTGGTCTAATAAATTTGTAAAGCACTGTATGTGCAAGTCTCAAATTTTTGTATTTTAATATGTACTTCTGTGTTTTGCATAACATATATACATAGTTCAGTCGTGACTCTAACCGAGCGCTGATTGGTTCCTCTAACACTGTGGCGTTAGCCAACCAGACGTACTTCCTAATCCTAATCCTTATGAAAACTTCTGTTTACCCCTCCTCCTCCTAAGTGCCACCTGCAGAGATCTGCAATGGGGGTTTTAATGTATTCTTGCAGCAGCATATCCTTACGTATAGCATGTTATTTTAACTAAGCTGAACAAATGTATTTTCTTAGCAGCAGCGTAGCCAAAATTAAGAATATGTTTAATCCATGCCCCATGCCAATAAATGTTGGTTAAATAATTCACTCCATATGTTGTCATGATTGAAATACATATATATAACTTATTACTAAATAGGATTTTAATAAGCTGGATCGAGAATTTAGAAGCCTCACACTTCACAAATCACTCAGCGTCTCCTCCTGGCCATCAATATTGTGGCTCCTGCTGATCCTTTTCAGGGGATGGACGGTGGGCGGCGGGTAGAAGAAGGGTGATAAATTATACGTCTATACATTGTGAACATTAATTTATCACGTTGACTGGCGTTTCATAGTAAATACGGGTGATTTTTCAATTAGGGGAACTTTTCTGTTCCCAAGGATGATTGCTTTTTTAGCTTTTAAAGGAAAGATCATAATGTCTTTAAGCTTTTTAATTGTGTGTCCTTAATTACTTTTTCCTCATTTTTAGGAGCGCTGAAAGGTTAAACTTGCCAGAACTGATATATTTGACTCAATTTATTATCTCTTTAGTTAAGTTAATTGATGGTTAGCTTTCGGCAATTTGGTATTATTTGATTGACAAAATTCAGTACATATTTTTGTAATAGCCATAGTATATTTATATATGAAAAACACTTTTCAAGCATTTAGAAAAATCTCAACATCTGCATTGATAATTAATAAGTGATTCACAAATGTTGGTAATGTACTGTTAAAAAAGATTTAAGTCACTTTAATTTAAAGCTGCACTATGTAAGAAGATTTGCAGTCCCTTTTTATTATTTACTGAGCATGGGGATATGAACAATATAATGGAGGAGGAACAAAATGCTTGATTAGATATTATATCTATTTGAAAATAGATTTTAATTTGTACTAACCCTATTTTATTTTTCGTATCTGTGGCTATCTTTGATTGCAGTGTATTGTTTACTCTGACTTCCAAAGTACATACTTTATAATCCAATGTTGGTTTGTGCTATTACACTTTTCAGGTAATAAGAGCCCCGGTGGTTGTTGGTTTGTTTGTTTTGTTTTTGTACATTATACATGATGCTACAGACATGTGATGCACATTGTTGTGGAAGTGTTCAAGAAAATGCAATAAAAACAATATTACAAAAAGCTGCACTATGTAACTTTTGGGCACTCTAGCAGTTTATAAACAAAACAGCATTCGTCTTGCGGTATAATATTTTAGCCAGAGCTACTTCTCTCTGTCTATGTCTATGACGTGTCATGCAGGTACTGGGCTACTCCGCGGCAGTGTCGACCCAACCGCTCTAAAAAGTCTGAACACTTATAATAGGCGTACCATAGTGATTCAGGACACGGTTTGGAAAATGGATTCATGATGTACTCGCTCATAATATAAATGTTGTAAATTTTGAACACAAAAAAGTTACATAGAGCAGCTTTAGAAAAACAAAACAGTATAAAAAAGCACTTAAAAAGTAATGCTGTCCTGTAAAACAAATGATCTGTTTAGTCACTCGTGTCCGTTAAAGTGCTGTAGTCAGGGTGTGGCCAGTTTCCCTGTTCATCGATTTGACAAAAGTGTAATGTATCTCCTGTCACTAAGTTCGCATCACAATATTTGCACACCGCTACACCATTGTTGTCCATACAGACAGCTAAATGCAGTCCTGCTCTTTCCTGTTCTAAACAAGCCATTGTCTCACGTCAGCTTTTTTTTCTCATGTGGTCAAGAGATCGATTTGACCGACGAGAATGTTTCTTGACACACCCACTGTTTAACATGACATCTAACCAGCATTTTAATAGATCTTGAACGTGATTTTATTTATATCGGTTTGCAGTTTGCAGTCCAAAAATTTGCAAAAGCAAACCTGTTGCAGAAACATGAGATGTAGGATTTCTGCTAAAAATTTAATTCATAGAGATATACAAAAATAAATCTACCCCTGCATGTTTGTTTATTAAATATTTTTCACAAATTATTTTACCAATTATTATTATTTTTTTTCTCAATTGCCTTTTTGTGGTAAAAATGCTATACAGGTCTGGCTCTGTCTATTAATGACTGACTTTTATGATCTCTTGTCAGCTAATGTTTAATAATACGAATTTCTGATATTTCTGATATAGTTAAACTACATAAACCTGAATTCTTTGTAGCATATGGTGTTTGTTGATGTCGTCTACCTTAAAAAAAAAGATTAAGTAATTTCAGCAGGTTTTTTTATTATTATTATTTTTAGCCACATATTACCGCCAACTGCAAAATGCATTTAGCAAAACATTCTAGCAAATAAGTGAGCACTCACTTATTTTTGTTTTAGAATACTGAACATCCAACAAAATCTATCCAGACCACCAAAAGTCCTCAACCCCTATGGATTGGCAGTATAGAAAAGCTAACCGTCCAATTTATCATCACCCCTCAGCTAAGTAAACTACGCACAGCTCATTTTTACTTGCTAACGTCACTCACCTGCAGGGCAACATGGAGAACTTTTAGGGGCAGGGGTTCATTATGTATTATTCTGATGGCTAATTTAGTCATTTAAGCTGATTGGGTGAATTAATAAACTAGGGCAAAGAGGTAACCATTAGTCACCCGTAGAGCCAACAGAGGTTAACATTTTTGCTCAAGGTCACATTTGTTGAATTTAAAAGAGAGGGATTCGCTCATCTTTTATCAGCTGGTTTTTCACAAACGTTGCACATTTAGCTTTGTACAGTAGCACATACACAAAAATGTTATGTAAAAGCAGGGTGACCTCAGTAAAAGGATAATAAAAAATCCATGAAATGCTTTGGTTTTGTGGTGGGGGTTTATTAATGGAGAACTTGGGCTGCTAACATAGATGTTGTGGATTAGCTTCTGGAAGCACTGACCTAAAAATGTTACTGAGATCACAATAACCCTGTATTACTGAGGGCGAGGGGGTGGTATTACAGTCTTGGTTAAAGATCTAAGCAAGAAAACGTTGGTTTGATCCCAAATTGACGTGAGCCACAAACTTGTCAGTGACTGAGATCATATTCCTGTCATTATATTAGGAGTAAGATATTTTGGATAAAAGACATCTGCTAAATGAGAAATAACAGTCTTCCTGTGACTAAATTCAAAGGCTTCTGCTGTAAGAAATGGGCATTGGGCCTCAAATTCTTCTATACTATACATGTTATGCAGAATTAATAACATTACAATCTCAATAACTTACAAAAACAACACACACAACACGACTGAAACTGAAGGAGAAACTGAAAACGACTTAAAATTGCCTTCAAATGTCAAACTTATCATGTCATATACTCATTCTCAAGTCATTTTCCCTGTATAATTTAGCATATACATCTTTTTCCATAAATAACAGGAGATGGTGATTTACACAACCAAAAAGGACAAAAAATTGTATAATAGTCAGTCCATATGAAATGATTCCCTTTGGTCATTTTTGGAACATAAATCGCCATCTACTTTTGTATGAAAAAGTCATCCTAACATCTTGGAACGACATGAGCGTGAGTACATAATGACAAAATTTTCATTTGGGTGCACTGTTCCTTTAAGAGTTAGTTTATTAAATATGTTCTCCACCTCTTCTCAGGTTTCCGGGTACACACTGACACAGATATCGAGACAGACACTCAACTTCCACAGGTTCTCTTCATCCTTCATGCAGCGTGGTGAAAACAGACAGGAGGGGGGGAAGCAAAAGAAAAGAGAACAGGGAAAAAAAGAAAGAAAATAATGTTCTTATACATGCATGCAACAACTTAACAGAAACAAAGAAACCATGCATTGAAACCAAAGCGAATCACATGCAGTCAAATGTAAGAAACTGAACCAAAACTGCCAGACACAGTGAGACGTCATCTATTAAAGATTCATCCATAGCAGCTGAGTCATTCATAGGCTGTGGATTTCCTGGATCTAAGCCAGGCAGCTTCAGAGGGTACTCTGGGTTTTGGGTTCAGTGCGTTCAATAAGATGTATTAACCGCATTTGCGGCATAAAGACAGATACAACAAAATGATTTCGAAAAATTTGTAGCTACAGTAAAGCACGAGCAATGGAAGTAAACAGGCATGCTAAAATATAGTCATAAGCATAGTATAGCCACAATAATAAAACAGGTTAACAGGAGACTAATACACTAGAATTCTTTAATAACATGTTTTGTGTGGTTATTTACAATATTAAACAGTTCTGGACTGGTCCTCGAATTTGATTGGCTGAGCAGCGTTCCAAGAGTGCAAGAAGAGAGTCACCGAATCACTCACTCAATTCAATCAAAAACATTGAGAAATGAAAGCACCATTACTTCCATTTTAAATGGTCTAGAAAAAAACAAACATGGAAGGACTATGGCCCTTTTTTTTGTAAGCGAATAAACCCAAATCTATTTTATAAATTTAACCTTGCCTGAAACTAATGTTTGATTACTATTGTAAGGTGAAGTATTTATTTTCACTTGCTTTTCAGAAAAAAATAGCCTATGAATAAGGATACTTATGGTTGTGTCTTCTTATTAAATGGGGTAAAAGTACACACAAAAATACACTCTTCACCTTTAAAAACGGTCTTTTTGCTATTTAATAGGGGTGTAACGGTTCACAAAATTCACGGTTCGATAAGATACACTTGTGTCACGGTTCGGTACGTTTCCGAAACGGCAAAAAGAAAGAAATGCCAGAGAAATTTCCTTGATTTAATTTTTTTGTATTATATTTTTATTAAAACTAACATCATAAAGTTTTTTTTTTTTTTTAACTTCGAGCAATGATGGAGCTATACTTGACTTTTCTTTGGAGCATAAACAAAACAGCTCCTTGGACAAAATTAGTAGTTATAAACAAAGGTTTATTTTAGTTCAGATTAGCATTTGAGGGCAGTAATTGTGTTCATAATGTCAAGATAAAACCGATGTGATGTTACTTGAAAGCATTATAGCTTACTATTCCTGCCAAACTTCAATGGTTACAGTTAGTAGTGTTATACAGTAAATCCATGGTGAATGTTGCTGATCTGTGGACAGTGGATAGTTCATTCATGGCACAATGTTTGTTCCTGGTTTCCATGTCAGCGCGGTTTGATATGTTAATAACGGAGAAATGTGAATGTTTCTCACTAGATCTCGCATCGATGTTATTACTTCAGTGACGAATTCAAATGCTATCTTTCTGATTTCGCTGTAGTAACAGTGCTGCTTGATTAAGATCAGCGATTATCAGATTATCAGATATTAAGATAAACGGTCCGTCAACCATACAATAACGAGTAGCTCAGTTTCGTTCCACTTACATTACATTTACCATTTGATGTTGGGCAATGTTGTGGTCACGCCAGCGTCTCTTACATTATGAGCGCACTTGCCACACGCGACGCGCCTACATTTGGAATAACGAAATTTTGGCCCAAATTTTCGAAGCGCCTAAATTTGAAATAACGAAAACCGAACCGAAAGCCTCGTACCGAACGCTTCAATACGAATACGTATATCGTTACACCCCTACTATTTAATGTTAATTTATGAGCAATATTTGAGTACCTGTAAAATAACAGATTCCACAAAAGCATTTCTTCATGAAATAACATTGGAACCGCACTGATTTGGAAACAGTTGGCTTACTGCACATTTACTAAAGAGCTGCTCTGTCAGAATGACCTCACACATTAGTCACAGACAATACTGGAACGAGTCAAACACTCATAGACATTTGCCGTAATTGAAGATTGTTGCTGGGGAAAGATGAGGTGAGCAGGATTTTTTAAAAACATTTGAGGACTCAGAGCTGAGAAACAGCCTCTATAGATGCAGTGTGGGCTGGTGCACTATGAGGTGTGTGGGTTCGGACTAACAAACACTTGGAGCGATGTGGCGACTCTTTTGTAGAGTGGGTGGCGCAAATGCAAGGTATTGGAGAAAGGCTTGAATAGGCTCACCAATGAGCTCATATATCTTACCACACAACTGCAGTCAAGTGCTTTCCAAAACGTGATAAATACTTTATCGAATTTGCACCCCTCAAACCTTCCTGCATTTTGACCGAATATGCATCTATGATCTTTTTTTTAGAGGTTGTACATATGTTACAGGGACAGTTCTTCTTCTTCAAAAAAAATTCTGTCCTCATTAAGGGTGTCTTGATTCCGATTTTAAATCGAAATCGATCGAAATTAATTTACAATCTCAAACTTCGAATTAAAAACTGGAATCGTCGATGATGTCACATTTAGAATACAATTTAAGATTTTGTTGTTTGTTTTTAAATCTCTTAATGGTCAAGCCCCAGTTTATATCTCTGAACTACTGAAGATTCACGCTCCTTCGAGGTCATTAAGGTCTGCTGACCAGCTAATCTTATCGGTCCCTAGAACGCGACTCAAAAATAGGGGTGATCGAGCTTTTTCAGTTGTGGCCCCAAGGTTGTGGAATGATCTGCCTCTGCACGTCAGATTAGCCCCTAGCCTACACACTTTTAAATCACGACTTAAGACACACTTTTATTCATTGGCATTTACTCCTGCGTGAGAGTTGTACCTTGTATAGTTTTATAGTTTATTGATTGTTTTAATTGCTTGCTTGTTGTTGTTGTTTATCTGTTAATGTACAGCACTTTGGTCAACCTTGGTTGTTTTTAAATGTGCTTTATAAATAAAGTTGGTATGGTATGGTATCCGTTCGGCTTGCCAAGCGGAAAAAACGCGCGTTTTGAAGTGCTGTGAGTCTATGGTCAACCTTCTCTAACTTAGCTACAGCCATCCAAAAGATAGCAAGATGCAGGAGACCCATCGACAGAACCCTTCATTGAAGTCGCAGGTGTGGAAGTTTTTTGGATTTCCAGTGAGTTATGTTGACAACGTTCGCGCTTCAAAAAAGTTTGCAGACATCCCAAGTCTCGCGGAAGTTCTATTGATAGCGGCTCCCTGATGCACGCAAATTCGTTAAAATCTCCTGTAAGCGAGCAAGAGTGAGCGTGCATGCCGGGACAGAAAAAACTGTGCTTCAAACCGTATTGCGTGCACAGCAGAGAGGGAGAGAGCGAGAGACCTTGCATGTGTGCCTCATGAAGCGCATGTAAGACAGAGAGCATCCTGATTGGCCGATTGATAAAAATCGAGAATTGAATCCAACCGTGACCTTAGAATCGAAAATATAATGGAATCGAGGATTTGGAGAATCGTGATAACCCTAGTCCTCATTTACTCAACTTCTGTACATAAAAGTTTACATGTGACTTTAAATTCCCATGTAAAGATTTTGAATATAACACACAAGTGATATTTTATGCAATGAACATGAGTAAATGATTCATTTTTGGGCGAACGATCCTTTCAAGCGCGAGCAGTATAGTAGACAATGCAAATATATACGATATAAGGTTGAAAACGTGGGTGGAGTTAAAAGCTAATGTAAAAATGTGTCATGTTGCCCTGAGATATAGATATGCATTTACAAACGTGTGTTAGTGTGTTTCTATTTGTATGCGCGAATGGCAACATCCTAGAGGGAGATATGGGGGAGGTAATACATTAAATGTGCACTTTTTTTATTGTATGCCTGAACGTCTCACTGATGCAGCGCCACATACGTGCTCATGTTAGTGATCTGAAAAACAACCATATTCTAGAGGCAGAATATTCATTTTCAAACCACACTGAAATGAATGTGAACGCTTTTTCATTGACGCAGTGTAAACGCTGAGGCAGTAGTTGGGATAAAACGGTGTGCTGAATGGTGTGGTGGAACTCACTTTCATCAGGGTTGGGTGCTGCTAGGATGGCACTGTGCTGCTTCTTGACCTGTTCTACATCCTCTGACAGCTTTTCAATACAGCCACGGATCTCCTCAACCTGTCAAGAGAACATGCGTTTAATAATCCATTTAGTGACATTCGCAAATTATATGAAAGAGGTCTAAATCTAAATGACTACTTGCATATTGTGAAACTCTGTGAAAAAAAAAGAGAGGAAAAGATCAAGTATTTGGCTAATCAGCTTGATTAACATGGAGCAAATTAATATTTTTATTTATTAATTATATAAAAAATGTATATTTATAGTATAATTAGATTATATGTTTATAAAAAAAATAATATTTTGACATTTTCACCATATTTCTATATCCCATATTACAGATAGGCTACCATATTATTTCATGTCACATTAAATGTTAGCTTTGGAAATGTATTTGCGATCAATGTTTATCATTTGGAAGAAAGCATGCAGGAACTAAACTGCTTTAAGGTGTGCATACAAATTAGTAATAAAGAACAGTATGGGAAAAAAATGCCAAGAGCCTTTTTTTTGTTTGTTTTATTTCTTAGATTTAATAATTTTGAATCTACTAGCAGTATTGGCCATAAGTGATGTCCGGCCAAGGAAAATTGACATCCTCACCCTTTATTCTTTTTTTTTTTCTTCAAATATTATTCATACTGGCATGATGAATCCGATTCTGACTTGTGATGCAGCCTGAATCATAATCACACCGTGTTCGTTCGTTGGCCAGAGGAGAACTGCCCCTCGACTGAGGCTGGTTTTTTTCTCCATTCTGTCACATGATGGAGTTTGGGTTCCTTGCCACTGTCGCCTCTGGCTTGCTTAGTTGGGGACACTTAATATTCAACAATATAGATAAAATGAACTAATTTAATAATTGATGATCTTTACAACGGAACTGAATCAACACTGAACTGACTTCAACAACAGCCGAAAATGCATAATTTTCCTGTTATCACTGTAAAGCTGCTGTAAAACAAACTGTATCGTGTAAAGTGCTATAGAAATGAAAGTGACTTGCCTTGACTTGACTATTAAATAAATTTAAAAATTTTCACATTTGTTTGTGATAAGGCAATAAAATAAGCCAAATTGTTCGGACAATTTTTGGCCTGGCTGTCATACAAAGAAATTATGAACACATGCAAAAACAAGAGAGAACCAACTTAATATTAGTAAATGAGTCAATATATGCTTTATCATGTGAGCTTTTCGTTTTTCTATGCATTGTAAAATAAGTTTGCTTTTTTTTGCCAAATAATTTTGTCAGATAAATGACCAAGTTTAGTGTTTTGTTTTTTCTGCATATTTAAAATATTTCAAAAAAATATTAAATATTTTCCTTATATTTTAATTGTTAAATCAAACTTGTAGTGTCAGAAACAAATATTCCCTCCAGACATCACTTTTGGCCACTATAGTAAATAGTTTTCATTACAAATTATATTATCAGAATTGGTTTAAGTAGTTAAAGGCTAAATACGCTACACAATTTTTTTTGCCCCGATTTACTGTCTGGATGAGTCAACGTTGGTTGCTGAAAGTCAGGGAAAATCTGCAGATTTTGTGCAGTCGGATCACGATGGGCAGTCGGGCATTGACATTTCAGCTTCAGACTATGATTCCATTTAGTCAGAGGATAGGATATCAAACATTTTTTGAGCCGATTCTAAAACACATTGTTTTCATTTATTTGTCATGCATCTTCTGTCAATGAGATGCGTGTTTCTGCGTGAGATTGTTGTGTTTGGAATGACTTGAAAGTCTGGTAGTATTTGGTATGTATTTACTTTAATAATGCCCAGTTTTCATCTGTAACCATTTACAAAGTCAGCAAGTGCATGATGGGATGTTTAAAAAAAAAAAAAAAAAAATCTGTTCAGATTTTCAAAATCAAATAGTGTGTTCTGGGACGGATTCACCTCATATTGTGACATAGGCAAAATACACCCCCCCATGAAATCCTGAATGCTACTTTTAAGGAATTGAAAAAAAAAACCCATTGTACTTTTTAAATAATTAAACACTATTGTCGAACCTGATATTGTGGATTTTTTATATGATCATACTAGCATGTGCCATTATATTAACATTTTACCAAACTCAAGCTCAAATAAAATAGACTAGTGAATGTTGTGTTTTTATCCTTTATTAGAACGCCGTCTGAGGTCATCGCATAACTTACAGGTTATAACGTTTACTGTAGCTATGTGGGCGCTTTTTTTTTTTTTTCTATTTGGCCAAAATCTCATGTTTTAAAAGATGAAGTGCTACGAACAAGCTATTTAAGGCAGGATTGGCTATGACTCGATGACAAATAAAAAAAAAAACTACTCGGACACTCTTCTCTGCTCCTCGAATACATAAAACTTTAGCCTTTATATATAGAGCCAGATTTACTAAAAGCATTTAAAAACTACTGTCAGGATTTCTAAAAACATAAACTAAAAAATTAGCGCTGAAAAGCCGTGAACAGTTATTATTGCAAATGGATTTGTAGGAGTTTCCCTTTCAGACGCAAAATTAATTGTAGGAGAGTATTAAAATGAATCACGCAAGGTGATTTACTATGGTTTGCGCTGGTCAATTTACTGCGGCATTATTTACCGCCCAAAAAAAGCGTGTCTCAAACCTAACGCTAATTTGCGCTGCTCTCGGTAGATTGCGTTGCACATCCTGCATGTGTGTTCTTTCATTTGCACGTCGTCAGTAGATCACGCAGAACTTTCCTCTCCCATCGGCACTTTTATGGGATTGTGTTGCCCTGTTTAGTAAATCTGGCCCATAGTGTTTGTTGAGAAAAGAAAATGCTGTACTTATTCAAACAACCAGTTATTTATTTACCCTTCCACTGCAAACGACCTGAGGCCGGGGTGTAGTTATGTGGTTTTATCAACAGTTTGAAGAGCCAATAAAGTTACGAATGCCTATACGAATAAATCTGGCCCTAAGTGCGTTCCAGCTATAAGTTGAAATCGAATATTTACATGAATCACAGAATGTTTTAGTAATTGGTTTGTCTCTCTTTTGCATTAATGACAGCAGCACTCAGAGTGATATGATGAGCAAATCAAATCAGCTACATCTGCGAAATCATAACTGGATATGATATTTGCCGTAAGATAAAGTTTACCTGTTCAAAAAATTCATCCATAAAGTGATCCCGGTCGACATGGACGACTTCCTCATCATCGTCACTGTCCTTAGCCTGTGAGGAAAACAAAAACATCACTTAGAATCTCTCAATAATGTAGACAAATCATTTCTTTAGTAGTTTTTATAATGTTGGGCAATAACTTGGACAAACGCGGAGTGAAAATAAAATGAAATGTTGGACAACATACCTCTACAGTGAATGGTATGTAAATAGGAGAAGTGTATTTGGTTGGATTAGATGTTTTTACCTTACAAAGGAGGAATACAACACTATAGCGAATCATCTTAAAGAGACAGTTGCTCAAAAAAGAGCAATCACCAGTATTAATCAGCATTTCTTCCATCAATGCAGATTAATTCTTTGCTGCTGTTTTTGGTTGCTTCAATATCTCAATATTCTCGACCAAGAACACAGTGATGAGATAATGGCCCATATACACAAAAGAGCAACCGTATTCAACACATCCAGCTGCTTCTCCATTTCTCATATGGAATAAAGTAGGGCAGCCTAATAAACTAATGCAAATCACATGTTTCCAGATGAGCACACGGTGTCACATTTAAAAGATCGTTTGATTGTGTTCACATATTGGTTTGAGAATTGGGGATAGCTGGAGGGTGATCTCAGATTAGCTGCACGGCCAATCCACACTGAGTGGAATAGGACGTTCTCCTGTGTGTGTACTGTGTAGCCATAAAGACCATCCCCCGTCCCAACCACGGCACCTTTTCTGGGAACTAATAGCTCTTCATTTCAAGCACACTGCTTCGCACCCGATGAAGCGGCTACGTCCAAAGAGAAAACATAGATTATAGTGACAGTCAAGAGTGTGAATCTTGTTTACTGGAACACGATTTGGAATTTCATGGGCACTCGTTAATATTTAGCGTTAATCATTAATATTTACGAACTGGTTCTTGGACAATTGAGTGACATTGTTGCCAATGAAACTAATACAGCTTTTATGAGGATTTTGAGCTATTGTCATCACCACTCTTAATATATTTTTAATTGTAATAAACTGAAACGGAGAGCAGATATTATATTCATGCAGATGAAAGAGACAGGGCATGTTTATATTTAAAGGGGTGATGAACTGAGAAATCCAATTTTCCTTGAGCTTTTGACGTCTAAGAGGTCATCATATTAACTGAAAACGTCCTTGTTAGTCCAATAAAAGCTTTTATTGACACCAGGCTCAGCAAACGACTCGTTTTTCCAAGTGGGGAACTATGACGTCAAAGAGGATAAAACACCACACCCCCCCACGGTTTAGCCCCGCCCACCGATTCACCATTACACGAATAGCTAAATAACATAGGCCTACCTCGCGATGACAGACCGGTTCAAGCTACCGAGCAAAACAAAATAGTGTGCAATGCCTGGTTGTGGAAGAAGACAGTCGCTGCATAAGCTTCCTCTGGATTCCAAAAGGACTGCATGGTTAAACTTTATTTTTAATGACGTTCCAGCTGATGAGGTAAAACACTGTCCGTCTGTTTGCTTCATTTCACTGAGGAATGCTTTTTAAACAAGACTGGATTTGCAGACCGATTAAGAGTAAAGAACGTTGCTGTGCCGTCTATATTGGATCTGACAGGAATGGTGCAACACACGGACTCTGGGTCGAACATGTATGGGCGAATCATTCCGGTTGACATTTTACAACATTGGACGTCTTCAGAACAGTTTCCCCCACGTGCATCGACGGGTGAGTTGAAACTCATTATAATATGCAAAACTATTATCCACTCACAGCATTGGGCGTTTACTTCCAAGTCTTCAGTGCGAGACGCCCATAACAACCGAGCGTTTTTCAGCTAGGGTCAAAACTAGGGTAGAAAATAGCCTATTACTTATTCATTTTGATGTTTTTGAATGCAAAAACGTCATAAGTTGACATCAGACAACAATATAATAAAATTTAAAAATACAGTTCATGACCCCTTTAACTTGAATAATTAAATTAATTTTAAATAATTAAGTAATGCATTATTGAAAACAACATATTGAAACAGGTTTCCCCAAAAACTTGCAATTCTTAGAAGAAATACTTGCGACAAGAGGTTATTCATTTCCATTGGAATGGAATGGAGTTTTAACTCTCTGCCGAAGTGACATTTTCAGATCATATTTGTTTTAAGCTTTGGATACTACAAATGTTTCAACTTGTGCGGTTAAAAACTGTACGCGACAGTCCAACTTGATATGATGTATTCCAATCAAAACTATAAAAGCGGAGTAAAAAACTACAATATTTGTCTAATGCCTTTATAAGCACCAATTATGTCTATAAAAGGACAGTTAGTCAAAAATAATTATTTATTCTGTTTAACACTGTAGCCTTGGGCAGACCATAAAGTATTCCTTTTAAAAGTAATAGGTATGTAGTATATGGATGGCATTATTCGCAAAAAATGGAGGGTGAATGTTTGTGCTCTGGCGCGATATAATAATATAGAATTTATTATATTTGAATAGAAAAAATAAAATAGCTGCTTAAAAAGCCAATGCGGTGGGTGGGCAAAAAGGTTCAATTCGTACTCTGGCGCTGATTTGGTTGACATAAATTTACAAGAATACATTTAGGTGACTGACAACTGGCTATTACTTGAGCTGAATTTTTTTAATCTTAGATTTTACAACAGTATATAGATAGAGCAATGCAAGACATAACTGTCTGCCTGTCGGGTGATTGATGCATCAGCCTGTCTATCACCAGCTAACATCATTTAATTCATGCAGAGGCTATTTTCGCTCTCCCGTCATCAGATAATGGCAATAAAGTCCCTTCCCCCATGAGCAAAGGTGAAATGTTTGATGCTTTCAGCCTACTGACAATTGCATAGTCAACATTTTTGCTAGCCGTTTCTGGTTTGGCGACCAGATTCTATGCATTTCCCTTTGACGAGGATTTCATGGCAAAGCACAATGAAATAGTAACAGAAAGCGGCCTGTGTGTTGTCTCATCAGCCGTGCTAATGTTTACTCGCCTGCTTCTCCTCTTATCTGGCCGCTCCCTTCCCGAGCCCTGCCCTCCCTGCCCCCTCAGCATCTGCTTTCATGGGGAGTGGCTTTGCCGCTGGTCCCCTGTGCTGTATGTCTACGGTACCGCAATATCAGTCGCTAATGACCTTCACGAAATAATTCTATAGCAACAGATTTCAGGAGGAGAGGCCTGGTGGATTTCTGAATTTAAGTGCTGAGTTGTGCCACCGAAGCCTCCTACCAGTGTGGTTAGTGTGTGGGTGATGATGGAAGATACTGCACATGTTGTTGCCTTTTTTTTTTTGGGAAGACACATTCTGTGTCTACAAAGCTGGAGAGCACAGATAAGGTCAGGGGGAAGAGTTTGGAGACAATAAATCTCCTACGATGTTAGACAAGGGTCACAGTGGGACAGCAATAAACAATTCATATCTGCTTTCATCCCTTTTGTTGTTGAGTGACAAGAAGGGATTCTCTGCTAAAACAAGGGGAGACATTTTAGAGAATTGTTTTAGAGATATATTTGATACTACCTCAAAATATATTAGTCTGGAAATGGAGATTGATACTGGCTTGACATTAATTAAGTAGCACAAGATTCATTAGGGATTAGAGCCAGACCGATATATTGGCCGGCCGATATTATCGGCCGATATTAGGCATTTTCCAAAATATCGGTATTATAATGGCCGATAAATGTTTAAATATTTAAATAATAAAATAAAAACGGACGAAACACGCTTCAATCATCTCTCCTTGGCATGTTATATTGAAAATGTATGTTTAACAATTTGCAGTGTGATGTTATCTATTGCTAAATTATGCCTCAGCATAGACTAGCTAACCACAAAGCTAGCTAATGCCACTATCATCAGTGGAAGACCGCTAACGTTAACATTAATGAGCTTGGAAACCACAATGAACTTTTTCTGCCTAAATAAAGTAATGATTACTGTATTTATAACTAGCATATCTCTAGTTACAGTCCCTGCATTGTAAAATATACGTAAGTTATACTTGCGAGGAGTGAACATTTAGACATAGAGAAAAAGTATCAAATGTATCTTGTGCAGAAAAGTAACTTTTTCTTTTACACGTGTGTGAAATCCAACAGTATTTAATAAAAAATAAAAAAATCAGCCGATATATCGGAATATCGGATTTTAAAACCCCCAAATATTTGTATCGGTATCGGCTTTCAAAATTCTTTATCGGTCGGGCTCTATTAGGGATGTCATTATTAGTCATCAAACAACAGAATACATGTTTTTTATCTTGATTTTAGAAATATATATACCTATTTGTCTATGTATTTAAAATGTATTTTTTTATTGCGATGGTAAAGTGGAATCAGCGGAATCATTCAGTGTCACATGATCCTCCAGAAATCATTCAAATATGGTGATTTCTTAAAAAAAAATCATACTGACCCTTTTGAACCGCTAGTGTATATATGAAGAATTCAGATGCAAAAGCCTCTAAGTGCCATTTGAAATTTTCTTCTAGAATGATCTTTTTTTTTATCAAGCTTGTATATTTAAGTTCAGTGATTTCACTTAAATGGCAATGATAATTACCTATTAATTGTTATTTAAGTGAAATTACTGAACTTAAATATACAAGTTTGATAAAAATCATCATTAAAGAAGAAAATTTCAAATGGCATTTAGAGGCTTTTGCATCTGAACTCTTCATATGTACATTTATATTTTTAGCAGCTATATAGTTAGCGTGCTGACATCATGCTGTTGCATTTGGCCATTTTATTGCATCTCATGCTATTTGTGGGGTGTTTCACAACTTAAAATAGTCCAGCTTTTAAAAACACATCTTTAAATGAATTAGCTGTTTAGCTGGTCTTGCACACGAGGAAGAGAGTCGTATCGGGGTCATGAGAACACAAAACCTGCCTTCCTTAAGGCAGATTACTTGTACATTTCTGAATTTTATCCAAAGCGACTTCCAATGCATTCAGGGTATTCATTTGACCAGTTCTTACAACAACAACAACAACAAATCCTTTATGGTTTAATGTAGGTTATTACTTTTCATTCTCTGCAATC